GCATCGGAGACGAGAGGGGGCGGAGACTCCTTTTCTGAGGAAAGGAAAAACAAAATTCTCCTGGACTGAAGCTGCGTTTCTTATTGTTAGAGTGACCTGTATATCTTCTGAGTTGACTTTTCCATTGAAATGTGTTACCTAGCGAATAATATAAAAGTCTGCACATGTAATCGCACAATCGTAAGTGGAAGGTGAATGGAGCCCTTTCGTAACAGCTCCGTGGCCCGCCGGCTAGCCTCGTGGAGACATCCTGTCCAGCCAGGCACTGAGCAAGGAGCCCACAGGTGAAGAAGGGGCGGGGCGGGAGAGACAGGCTTCGTGAATTGTTAAATTAGTGCTGGGCTTTTCTGTTCACTTGGCTCTCGTTTTTCCATGTATTTTCCCCCCCTCCCTGTTCCCCTCACTCTTTAAGCAGGGGAACGGGATGCTTTGAGTGTTAGAGGTGTGAAGAATGTCAGCCCTGTTTAAGCCAATCAAGAGATGGCCACTGCCAGGGTAACCAACATGGGGGGAGGGTGGGGAGGGTGTGTGGGTTCTCAAAAGCTTTGTGCTCTTCTAGCCTTATAGTAGGTAATAACACTGCATTAGTGCAGCTTTCAATAAAAAGGGGCATTCAAACAAAGCCGGGCCTGCTTCGTAAGAGGAAACGGAACATAGCCTCGTAACACAAAAGCGATTGTCCCTGGATGCGACCACAGGGGAGTCGCCCTCTGTTGTGAGACTGGACGGGAGGGAGGTCATGATTCCAACTCGGAATTAGAGGCAAAGGAGACGGGGCCTCCAAGGACTGGAACCTTACCTGGTCTCCTTACAGCCAGTCTCGCCCTAAGAACTTCCAGAAATGGATTCCAGAATGTGCATACACTGCCTGATCTGGCCCATTCTTACGACTCCAGTTCTACATACTCCCTCTGCCTTAAATGTCAAAACGCGCATGGGAGTGAAGTATTGGGGACGATTTCTTAACAGTAAAGTCTGGTTCACATTCGTTCCATAGAACGCTCTGCTTTAGGTATGAACATGCTGTTAGTATGCGCGAATAGAAAAGGGTCAGCCCACATGCTTATTTCCCCTTAAAATGTCCCGTTTGGAGTGTGCATAACATATAGTGACAAAACTTCCAACTACCTGGTTACTGACATCTGAATGATGGCAATCTGATGCCACTTGCAGCTTACAAGGGACCTTTCTGGCGCTGATTTGGTCATTTCCCCTCACTAGATCTAGGCATAGCTAGTACAAAAAGCAAAGATAACCCAGGCCAGTTCTGAGAGGGATCCACACTGTGAAATAGGCGCTCTTGAACCAGTCATCTGACGCTTGTGTAGTGTGATGTTCACATTTACTGTGCATCGGATCGAGCTGGCGGGGCCACTGTATTGTCCAAGAAGTGACTGATGTGCAGCTTTGTGTTGGGGACTCCTCTAGCCTAGCGGCAGTAAGCAGCCACTGTGCTGTTAGAAGTAGAGAGCATCTAGACTACAGGAATAGTCCGTAGCCACTTGAGAAGGCCGTTCCGAGGCCTGCTAAGGGGTGGTGAGAAGCTGGTTGTTTGGCCTACAGAGATGCGCTAAAGATTCTCTGCAGGTCACAGCAGGGCAGAAGACAGCTAGTTTACCAAGATGGTTTCCAAAGCAGCTCAATTTCACTTCCCGACATTCATGACGTTATTCCTGCACTTCCTCTTTCTGTGTCATTGTGCCTCCCCCTCCCCAAAAATATTGTCCTTTTTATTACTTCCTTGAGCTTTAGTGGCTCTTTTGTACTTGGCTTTAGGTATTTCACAAAGTAACACTTCTGTCAGTGGCGATTCTTAGCTGACTGTACCATGGAAATGCATTTATCTACCACAGGAGCATCCTTCCAAAGACTCATGTTAATCTTGCTGCTGCAAAATGTCTCGGTCTTCATCTCTTGGTTGTCAGCCATTCAAAAGATACTTTGTCTAAGTGTGTGCTGAGGATTTCTTGCCATTTCATGCTGTAGATCACACCACCACCTTTTTCAAGCTGGAAATTTCTCCCATCCTTTGACTATTGTATAAGCAGTAAATTTTAGTCTTACTGTAATTCAGCTTTCCAACTTTATGAAATCTGTTCTCTGCACTCAGAACGCAGCCCTAACACAAGAAATCTCCAACTTCCTCCTAAGAAAGGAGAGAGGTCACCATCAACAGCATAATGCAGCAGTTCCTGGGTTGGGGGAACAGTCACCCTAGCCAATGGGACCAGCCCTGCGACGGCCATTACAGCGGCCTTGGAGTCCTCTCCCTCCCTGATCTCCCACAGCACCAGCTGAGAAACAGCCCTTATTTCTCTCAGTGACTTCTAGCAAGCCAGTGCCCAGCTTACAACTAGACAAGTTACATGTCTCCAAATGTAAAAGTGCAACTGACTTCCGTTGGTGATTCTCCGGACTGCATGATGAAGCGACTGCACAAAGCAGTTTCACCTGTTTTTTTTTAATAATTGTATATGGGTGCTGTTATTTCATGAGAATCATTCACCAACTATAGCTCGTTTCTACTTCCCTCTCAGTCTAAAAACACGGGGGGGGGGGGGGGCAGAAAATTCCCTGGAAAACTTCAACTGGTGCTCTTCATGCACCACGCATGTAGGACTACTCTACCCTTTGTTTCAGAGGGCACTCTGCAGTAGAACAGCTGCATTCAAGTCCAGGAGCATCTCGGAGACCGAGAGTTTCGAGGTATCAGCTTTGGATAATCAAAGCTCCGTTCCTACTTGCGTCTGATGAAGGGAGATTTGACTCCGTGAAAGTCATTGTCTTTAAGGTGCTCCTGGACTTGAATCTAACTGTTCGAACTTTTGTGTGTGTGACTACGCAGACTCAAAGGACTTCAGTGAGAGGTGACCATCTCTGTTCTTACTGATTGGTGGCCCCAAAGCCCGCTTTTTAACCAAGATCTCCCTCTTGTTTGTCTTAGCTGACATTTTGGGAACCGCACAGTACATTTATGAATGTTTTTCTAGCCCGGGCCAGTTTTTTCCATGTTAATAGACCCCCCTGAATTCTAAAAGGACTCAGTGTCCTATATTTCCTTTATCCAGGAAACTATGTCGTCATGAAAAAGCAGGTCTTTGATGCCTTTCCGTATTTGTTACTCTCTTCCAATGTTCCCTCTAAGCTGTGGAGTCCTGTGAGCAGAAATTCTACTTTGTGAGCTACTGGCATTAAAGTTGTGAGCAGGTAGTTTGGCTGCTGCATAAAATTAGCTTGCTCTGGAGCCATCTTTCCTGAGCGAAGACAAAAATGTGTGAGACGAAGGCTAAAAAACTGTGAGCTAGCTCACACTAACTCAGCTTAGAGGGAACACTGCTCTCTTCCACAGCAACAGAACCAAAATAATAATTGCCTGCCACTGAAGATAGGTGAACAAGTTACTTATTTCCTTTCTGTAGAACACCAATTCACTGTTCCTCTGAAGTACTGGCTCTCCTTTTAACTGGAGATGCCGGGGAGTGACTCCTCCCTAAATGACGCCTCATATGAAGGAGGCCATTGGTCCATCAAGGTCAGTATTGTCCACTCAGACTGGCAGCAGCTCCCCAGGGTCTCAGGCAGAGGTCTTTCCCATGACCTACCACCTGGTCCCTTTTAACTGGAGATACCAGTTCTTTCCTTTCTGTAAAACACCGATTCACTATTCTTCACTCGGCATGTTCCTGCACAGATTTAATTGCTAGTGCTCCATGGGAAAGACTGTGGGGTTGAACACATGAACTAGAAGAGAAGAATCTGCATTTACGCATGAAGCTGCTTAATACTGAATCAGACCCTTGGTCCATCAGTTGTCAGTGTTGCCTACTCAGACTGGCAGCAGCTCTCCAGGGCCTCAGGAAGAATTCTTTCACATCACTTACTGCCCAGTCTTCTCAAAAGCAGAAGAAGGAGCCACAATGAAATAAAGATGGCAGGCAACAGGAATGAGCTGAGCCACCCGCCCCCCCCCAAAAAAGAAACCCACCCACAGCTTCTACTACCTGTCCTAACAATGAGCCCCTACCAAGCCAGGGAAAAAAACCAGACAACAGATTTCAAACAATTCCTTTTTACAGTATATACAAAGTCCAAGAGGCAGAGGGTGGCCTCACACAACATACAAACAGGAACAGAAAGGACTGAGCCGGGAGCTTGCGTTGTTGGGACAGGCACAAAACTCCGGCTCCTCAAAGGCCCTCACTGCTAATTCAAGCTGACCACTCTGCAGGGAATTGGCTGCCCAGGGGAGGGGGGAGAGCAAAGGGGGCAGGAAATTCATGACCATGGGCAGAGTGCAGCTGGAAGTTTCAGCGGGGAACACTGGCATGGGGGGCTGGCCCTTGGCCTGTGATCCACAGGCAGAGTCTTCCCTGCTGTGGAAGCAGTAAAATGGCAGGAAAAGCCCACAGGGCGCTTGGCAAGAGCAGGCTCATCCCTGACTGTCTTGAGCGAGCTCCGGGGCGCCCCTCTGGCAAGCAGAGCCTGCAGCTACGGTGGACAGCCAGTGGCCAGTTCTTGCTTCCCTCTATCCCATCTTAGCAAAGCCAAGAGCTCCCACGTTCAAATCTCACCCGCCCTTTGCTCCCTCGGCAGGGAAAAGACGACCAGGGCAGGCCTGAAGAATGACAAACTGCATGCCTCAAACTTGACCAGCCCCATCTGCCCATTTCCATGTCAGGGAAGCTAATGGGGGAGGCCCTGAAGAAGGCAGGAAAGATGTCGCCAGCAGCCTTCCGGCAGAGTGGAGAAAAAGAGAGAGGGCCACTAGGGCAGCGGCGGCAGCAATGACCCATCCCAGCAGGAACAGGGCCGGCCGGCCAGCCGACCGGACGGCCCTCTGTTAGGCAGAACTGGAGGTCACGTTTTTGTGCTGTAGAGCAAAGGAGCGTCTGCCACCCGCAGCACGCAAGTCCTGCCCGCAGGGAGAGCTCTTTAAAAAAAACAAAACACCCGGAAAAGAGAAACCGTTCAGGGGACACGAGGGAGCGGCAGTCCCGAAGGCAAAAGTGCTACAGAGAATTTTCAGTGTTGTTCCCAGCCAAGGAGCGCATTGGTCACTTGCACTCACTGCAGCCCCCTGCTGCTGCTTCCCCACCCCCCAAATCCTCTCCCCTGCCCTTCAGGCAAGAGAAGCATCTCTTCCCTGTGGTCTGTGCAGAAGCAGCCTGCCTAGCTGCTCGGGCCAGGGGATTGCTTAGCACTAGTACAAATGTGTCAATCTGGACCGTTCCCTCTGTTCTGTGGAGGGGCCATCTCGGCTGTAGGCCGGGGGCAGCTGAGCTGTGGCCAGAACCCGGGGCCGACACGCCCACACTCCCCTCTCCCTAGTGTTCCAAACGTCCTGTGAGGGCACCTTGCTGGGCTCACCACCCCACAGTCCCCGCTCTCCAGAGGAATTCTGGAAACGTAGGCCGGCCGACCCCCGCCCTCCCCCAAGTCAGGTGAATAAATATTTCCGCAAGTCCCAGCTCCACAATTCAACACATATGGGGTGGGTGGGGGTGGGGCTCAGCTTGTGTTCAAACAGGGGAGGGGGAGCAGCCTGCCTCATATTACAGCAGGACCGTCAAGCAGGACAAATCAACACCATTCAACTGATGTCTAAATGCAATTCCCAGCGTGTCCTCACGTGAGCCAGTCACATGACTTGGTGCCGCCTAGGTGATCCCGTCGCGTCACGTCACGTCCTGTGGGGAAGGAAAGAGGAGAAAGCGGCTCAGCCCCCGGCACTTCTGCATGTCGGCCACAGGGTGGTCCCAGACTGACAGCAAAGGAGAAACCATTCCCCACTCGCTTTGCCTCTTCATCACCGGCTGGGAGAGGCAGGCAGGCAGGCAGGGGCCTGAAGCTCTAAGTTAGAGGCTCCTAATCCTGCAGGCTGGGGAACAGATGAGAGACAAAGGCCGCACAGGTCACAGACTGCTTGAAGCCTTTATGCTGTGGCTGGGAAGGAGGGGGGATGAAAAGAGATTTCCCAGAGCTCTGTGTGACCTTTGATACACTTTGCCTGGCTCGGTTCCTTTCCTAGAAGATGCAGTTGTCTCCAGCGTTGTTGGGTTGCAAATCATGCTGAGCTGAATGGACTAGAACTGCATGACCCTTCCCCCCCCCCAGTCCAATGATGCAAGGGGGGTGGGAGCGCAGCCTTACCGGTTTCACCTTCGGGGCGGGGGGTACAGGGAAGGAGCGGAGCCTTGCTGGCTGGCCACAATGGCTGTCGATGAGAGGCCTGTGGAGAAGCAGAGCCACAGCGTGGAATGGAGCGGAAGAGAGAGACACACAGAGGCAGCAGCCAGGACACCCCACAAAACCTGAGAGCCAAGGCTGCCAAGGACTGCTTGGCTCACCTCTGGCACCTCAGCCCCGCCCCGTGCCGCCCCCCCCCGGGCCACATGCCCCAGTCTTCTGCTCTCACCTGTTGCATAGGGCAGGTTGTACTGGGCCGGTAGCAGCGAGTAGCCCAGGTGGTGGTGGTGGTGGTGCGTGGACATCAGGCGCTGCGAAGGAGATGAACGGGGCCGGTCAACGCTTCTCTCGGCACCGCTGGTGCCCCCTACGCTGCTGCAGCCTGCGCTGCTTCCTCCCACCCCACAGCCGCTTCGCTCCTGGGGGGTCTTCTCGCCTATCTGGAAACCAATCACAGAGAGATGGCACGTCAGAGCCAAACGTGTCGACCTGTGGGGTGGGGGGCTGCCTGCCTGCCTCGAAGAGGCCACAGTGGCAAGCTGGCTCTCGGGCCGTTCTCCTGGCGGGAGGCTTCCCCCAGGAATTCCCCCCGCTGGCCTCTCTCCTACACACTTGGGTGTCCGTGTCCCCATCATGGGACCCATGAGCAGAAAACACACACACACACCCCTGCTTATTCCCAGAGCCAGCGGAGCAAGTGCAACATTCATAACTAAAGTTCTGCAAGCAAATCTGACACTGCATCATCCCCCCCTCCCCCCAATTCCTGTGTCCCTCCCCCTGCCCACTGACCGTTGGGGACTTGCTCTTGTAGTGGCTGGCGTGCTGCTGCAAGATGTCCAGGGCCTTGGACTCGGAGCTGGACTTGCAGCCGATGCTGGGGCTGGCGCGGGACTTCTCGCTCTCCTCGCTCCCAGAGGCTTTGCTGCCGTAGGGGGAGAAGGAATAGCTGGAGGGAAGGTAGGAACCTGTGGGAGGGAGAAGAGATGCCAGAGTCAGGACTCCTTGCTCCTATCAGTTTGATGGGGGCGGGGCTCTCAAGGGGACCAATCACCATCACAAATCGTTTTATGGGGCGGGCTGAAAGAACTGAGACACAGACTTGGCGGAGGGAGAGACTGAAGGGAGATCCACACGTATTAGGGATCTCCTGGCTGCAGAGACAGGCATCCTGGAAAACTATGTTTATACACAAGAAGGTTCCAGTCCAGTAGCACCTTAGGGACCTAGAAGATTTTCAAGGTAAAAGCTTTCAAAAGTCAAGAAGGTTTGCAAGAACTCACTGGTTGCCTGAGGCAGCCGTAGCCACACCACTCAGAAACCAGAGCACCACTGGATAAAGCTTCTAAGGTTTCAAGGGCTCATGTCTTGTGGGTCTGTATCATAGAATCATAGAGTCGGAAGGGACCTCCAAGGTCATCTATTCCAACTCCCTGCACAATGCAGGAAATTCACAAATACCTCCCCCCCACACATACCTAGTGATCCCTGTTCCATACCCAGAAGATGACAAAAAAACCTCCAGGGTCTTCAGCCAAACTGGCCTGGAGAAAAATTGCTTCCTGGCCCCAAAGTGGCAATCAGCCATTCCCTGGGCGTGTAAGAAAGGGGCACAAGAACTAAGCACTGATGCAGCCCTTCCTGCCTTCCCTCTCATGATCTACCTAAGTTTACAGAATCAGCACTGCTGTCAGATGGCCATCTAGCCTCTGTTTGAAAACCTCCACGAAAGCCTGTTTCGCTAAGGAACTGCTCTAACTGTCAGGAAGTTCTTCCAAACGTTTAGCTGAAAACTCTTCTGATTTAATTTCAACTCGCTGGTTCTGGTCCGACCTTCTGGGGCAACAGAAAACAACTCCGCACCATCCTCTAGATGACAGCCCTTCAAGTACTCGAAGATGGTTATCATATCACCTCTTAGTCGTGTCATCTCCACTCCAGGCTAAACATCCCAACCCCTCTCAACATTTCCTCCTAGGACTTGGTCTCCAGACCCCTCACCATCTTCGTTGCTCTCCTCGGGACACGTTCTAGCTCAGTGATGGCGAACCTTTTAGAGACCAAGTGCCCAAACTGCGACCCAAAACCCACTTATTTATCACAAAGTGCCAACACAGTAATTTAACCTGAATACTGAGGTTTTACTTTAGAAAAAACAACTCATACTTTAACTTAAGATGATCCAAACAAAGCAAGGAAAGCAATCCCAAATGCTTTCATTTACTTAAAAATATTTGGCAGAGAATTCGACACTTTAATGATGGTCTGGGCCTGGCTGGGGCGATGGCATGCGTGCCCACAGAGAGGGCTCTGAGTGCCACCTCTGGCACCCGTGCCATAAGTTCGCCACCACTGTTCTAGCTTGTCTATACCTTTCTTAAATTGTGGTGCCCAAAACTGAACACAATACTCTAGGTGGTGCCTAACCAGAGCAGAGCAAAGTGATACCATCACTTCACGTGATCCTTTCTCTATGGACCCACCTCTCCTACCTCTGGCATCCACCCATCCCAGAGCCTCTCACACCTCAGCCCTGCTCCCTCCCTTCTTGTCCACTTCCATCCAATCCCTGCCAATCCCTTCACAGCCATTGAAGCTCCCCATCAAATAGATACACGTTTACTTCTGCTTCCCAGAAAGGGTTCCCAGTCTCCCGGAATTACAACTGGTCTCCAGACTACAGAGATCAGTTGCCCTGGAGAAAATGGATGGTCTGGAAGGTGGACTCTACGGGATTACACCCTGAGGAGACACCCTTCTCAAGCTCCTCCCTCCAGAGCTCCTGGAATTTCCCATCGTGGAGTGGGCAACCTTATTCCCAGTCCTCCTGAATGCCCTCCTTAACTCTGCATGCCGTTCCAATGCAAGGTCAATGTAAGTAAACAGTCCTCCTCCGGACCTGTCATGCCTAAGATGATATAATGCCCTGACCTGGATTGACCCAGGATAGCCTGATTTTATCAAATCTTGGACGCTAAGCAGGATTGGCCCTGGTTAGTACTTTGGAGAGAGACCTCCAAGGAAGTCGGGTTGCTACGCAGAGGCAGGCAATGGCAAACCACCTCTGAACGTCTCTTGCCTTGAAAAAACAAGGTGAAACAAAGAGCCCAGCTGGATCAAACCGAAAGGCCATCCGGCCAAGTTTCTCATCTCCCACAGTGGTCCACTGAATGCACATCTGAGAAGCCCAGAAGCAGGGCATGAAGGCAAAGGGCCTTCCCCCTATTACATGCTCCCAGTATTCCGTATTTCAGAGGCAGGGGATTTAGCTATCGTGGCTAACGACTGTTGAGATATCTATCCCCCCTAAATCTGCCTAATGTCCTTTATACAGCAAATCAATCTGGATAGACTGATAGTCAATGCAACCGTTGAATATTTCAACATAATGCTTTAGTGGTCTTTCTGTACTAGAAATATTAAGCCCCGTAAGTTGTGTCTGGCATTTTCTCAGTGTTTGGACTGCACTAATTCAGACACGTGGGCTAGCGTGCTACGTCTCTGCTCAGCCTTCCTCTAGACTCAAAAGGTGTCTTTAGGCTGTAGAAAGGTTTCAGACTTGGCTGAGCAGAGAGGTAGGGTACAGGCCATTCGTGTATGTGCACATTCAAAGGACAAAGGCGTTATTCCCCCACCCCTACAATTTATATTCTTTAAGAATAATCTTAAGGGAAATTTCAAAATGATGCAATCGTGCCCATTAACTGTATTTAAAAAAAAATTAGAATGCAAAGTCTTGTATGGGAGTGTATCGCTTACATCCTACACACATACTAGTTTCCTTCCCTGCCTCCCACCCCCATATTTCAAAATATGAACATGATGAGAATTATGTCCTTTTGGGTCAAATCCATGTGATCCATAAGGAGAGTCCCATTTATGGATAAGAACATTACCGAGCCCTGATGGAACTGACCAGTGGTTCATCTGGTCCAACATCCTGACTCACATGGAAACACTGAAACTGGTGGTTGTATCTGGCTGTGAATCAAAACAATTAAGGTGGCTTAATCTATTAACAGTGTCCCAGGAAGCAGGCCTTTTCATCTGCAGGATCAGTCAGGTTGTGTGGTTCTGCTTCGTTGTTTTAAAAGCTCAGAAAAGCAGCGGCTGGACAAACACTTGTCAGGGATGCTCGAGGCGGATCCTGCATTGAGCAGGGGGGTGGACTAGATGGCCTGCGTGGCCCCCTCCCAGCTCTGTGATTCTATGGTGGTCACGCAGTTCCTGATGGTGTCACACAATCATCACACGCCAGCCCCAGACGCAATCTGTCTCAGCCTTCAAACAGCCCCAATTCCCACCTAGTTCCAAAACGAAAAACGCCCCACCCTCCACAAGAGAGGCCATGAAGCCTTCTTCCTGCCCTCTTTGATCAAATCCCCTTGACTTGTAAGATCCACCCCAAGACCCCATTACCTGGGTAGTTCTGCATCATGACGGTGGGCATGCCACGGTAACTGGGGTGGTTAGGGTCGTACGACTGGCTGTAGGAGTAGCCGTGCATGTAAGGGATGTAGGACTGGTGCTGGCTGAGGGGAGAGGACACTGGCACATGGACGCTGGGCCTGGCCTCCTTCCCCGCCATGCGCGACTCCTCGCTGGAGGGCACTTTGCAGTCGGCGCTTGCGCTCTCCTTCCCGTCCTCCTTCGTCGCCGACTCTTTGCTGCGGCTCCTCTCCTCCTTTAACTTCCGGTCTCTCTCTTCCTTCCACCGCTCATCTTCGGTCTTGATGTCCGAGTATTTGGCGGGGTAAACGTAGGTCCACATGCGAGGCTCTGCTTCCTGTGGCAACACACACAGTGACATCAGGACAGGAGTCTAGAATACACAGTGTGCTACTGGAGCCCTGTAAGTCTCCCTTTTACTTGTTTGAAAGGCGGACCCTCATAGATTCAACTTTAAAAAACACCAAACTCACTAAGCCCCCTCAAACAGACACAGGCAGCATCTGCAGAACAGCACAGCTTCCATACTTCACCGTTTCCCCCGGTGCCACTGCCCTTGTGCACCGACCCACCCCTGTACACCCATCCAAGCAATCAAATCCCTGCTGTGGAAGCCAATGATGAACTGAAAGGTTGACATCTAAAGCTGTAATCCTCGGTAAATCCCACCGAACCCCGTAGAACTTGCTCAGGACTGCTCTGCTAGCAAAGCAGCAAACACCAGCAAATGTTTCTTGTTGGTAACAGAGGAACCAGCCATCTTTCATTGAACTGGTTACTGCTGCACAAAAGGAGCGAACTCTGGCTATACAACTGGGGCTGCAAGATTTTGCTGCATTAAGACCGCATACCGTGCAGGCCCCTTTGGGCAGAGCCTTGGGTTGCCAGCCTCCGGGAATCACAACTGATCTCCAGGCTACAGAGAGCAACTCCTCTGGAGAAAGTGGCTGCATTGAAGGCTGGCCTGTACAGCATTATACCTCCCCGAGGCCCCTCCCCTCCCCAAACAACCCTGCCCTCCCCAAGCTCTACCTCCGAATCTCCAGGAATTTCTCACCCTGGGGCTGGCAACCACAGCTAGTGCTGACCAGAGAAAGGAAGGAGCCTTGCAACTCACAGCCCTTATCCTTGGCCCCCTGGTTCCAGTTACTTTGGCTCAAAATTAAAAGGCGGTGACAGACGCGATGCAGGTAATGGGGTGCCCTGGTTGGTCTCCCGTTTTATGACTGCTCAGGCATGACTATGGGGCAGGAGAGCATTTGGGTCAGCCCAGCCTTCTTCCTTCCCCACACGATCCTTCAGCCCCCAGCTGTGAGCAAAGCTGGTGGAGGCAGAGGCAGCTCCATCTCACCACCCACCTAGCCGAACATCGGAGTCCTGAAACTTGTTTGCTGCTTTCCAGAGCTCCCAGCTATTCTCTGCCGCCGCCGAGAGGCCGGAGGCTCAGCTGCGGGTGACTCTGCCAGACGGCTACATGTAACCTTAGGGAGCATGGTCCTGAGGCCTTAAGAATCCGGGCAGACTGTGCAGAACTCAGCTTTGTGGACTGCGTAACTCAGTATGCACGGACTGTGGGCTTCTGTGTAGCAGTGCATGTAAACAAGATCTTGGGGTACGGGTGGACTAAGATAAAATATGAGCAGCTGGTCTGATGCAGTGGCAAAAAAGGCTCACTCAAGGGGTGTTCTTGACAGAGGCATAACATCCAAATCACATGATGTCATAGTCCTGCTGTATACTGCATTGGTCAGGCCGCACCTGGAGTACTGTGTGCCATTCTGGAGGCCGCACTTCCAAAAGGATGTGGACAGAATGGAGCGGGTGCAGAGGACAGCGATGAGGATGATCGGGGGCCTGGAGACCAAGCCCTACAAGGAAAGGCTGAGGGGCTTAGGAATGTTCAGTCTGGAGAAGAGGAGGCTGAGGGGGACAGGATTGCTCTATTTAAGTTTTTGAAGGGCTGTCACTTAGAGGAGGGCAGGGAGCTGTTCCTATTAGCAGCAGAGGAGAGGACTCACAACAACGGACTTAAATTAAGGGCTGGAATTAGGAAAAACTTTTTTACAGTAAGGGTTGTGCAACAGTGGCATCAGCTGCCCAGGGAGGTGGTGAGCTCCCCTCCACTGGCAGTCTTTAAATAGTGGCTGGACAAACCCTTGTCAGGGATGCTCTAGGCTGATCCTGCACTGAGCAGGGATTTGAACTAGATGGCCGGTATGGCCCCTTCGAACCCTGTGATTCTATGATTCTCCTTTCCAGCTCACAAACTAACTGAAGAAAAGTCTGCGTCCAACATGAAGAGCTGGGTTACCCAAACTCAGTGGGTCAAGCAGGTGTCTAACTCAAGGGGCAAGCTGTACACTACACTCCTGAAATGACTCTGATGCCCTGAGTCCCTCACTGTCACGACGCTGGCCCAACAGCCAAGTTGCCCAGAGCAAAGAAAGAACCCTAGGATTAGAATAAGTCCGACAGTTTCTCCTGTGCTCTCCAGATGATCTCAAATAGTACTACCCATCAGGAAGATAATAAGGGCCATACCAGCCCATGGGTAAAAAGAAAATACTACAGCTACGTTTCAGACAGCTGGACTGCCATACCTTAACTTGGACTGACAGAGGTCAAGCTAGAGATCTAAAGCTCAGGGTGAGATGATAATGAAGAAACTGGGAGCAGAAACACCAAAGTGGGGAGTCAAGCTGCTGGCTAGTTCATATGTGGACTTGTTCTGGCCATCCGCACACAATTGTCGCATGCCTGGAGAGCAGGAACCAGAACCCTAAGAGGCTGAGTGAGCCCCAAGGCATTTCTCCCCTCTCCCCCGCTCCCTCCCCACCACTGTTTGCACTCTTTGTGCAGCCAGGCAGCCACTTTCGGGGACTTCAGGAGCGTCCACTGCCCCGCCTGCCACTCTTCCCATAATCACCTGTCTGTACCAAAGCACCGGGTCCACCTCGGTCTGCCGGCCACAGTCCGAACTGGCCTTGGGCTCCACCGTCTCCTTGCCCAGATGGCTGCTTTCACTCAGCTTCCCCTTGAGGCCCTCCGCCGCCTGGCTCTGGAGCTTGGAGGAATCCTCCAGCTTGGGAATGATGACTGACTTGGCCGCGTCGGGCCCCTGGTCCTTGCCCTTGCTCAGTCCCGATTTGACCAGGTCCGTCAGGCTGGGGGCTTTGGTCAGGGTGGGAGGCAGGCAAGGCTTCTGCTTCCACTCCTCCTTGAGCGCCCCCTCCCTCTCCTTCAGCCCCAGCTCGACTTTCTTGTCCATCCCCCGCTGCTGCTGCTGCTGCTCCAGGCTCTGGCGCTGCTTCTGCTGGTCTTCGTACTGCTGCCGGTAGGTGGGGTTGGTGCTCAGCAGGTGGGCGTGATAGCTTTGCTCGCTGTAGCCATAAGGAGGCACGTAGGCATACTGGTTGTAGTAGAGGGACTGCATGTACATGTTGGACCGCTGCTGAATGACCGAGGGCTGCTGGCTGGAGGGGCCCAGCTCCGCCTTCTTCTCCTCGCAAGTCTCGTTCTTCACCTTCACCTCGGGGCTTGGCGGCTCCTCGTCCTTCTTCAGTTTCAGGGCCTGGCTGTCCACGCTGGCTTGGCTGCTGGGGTTGATGGGACCAGGGCTCGACTGCGCGTAACCCGGTGAGTAATAAGCCTCGAAACCTTGGTAATAGGGGGAGTCCTTGGGCTGAGGCTGAGAGGGGAAGAGGGCCTTTTTGGCCCCGTCCTTGCCCATCTGCTCGGGGTCCTTGGCCTTCACGCTGTCCAGCTTGCCTTCGCCATCCTCCCCGGCGTCGGAGATGTCGGAGTAGGCGGGGCTGTTGGTTTTCACAGAATTGGCTTCAGCACCGTTTTGAGTGACCACGTGAAGAGGCGTCATGGGTTGTGCGGGCACTGCACTGTCCAGTCGGCTAGCGCCTCCAATGGACGGACTCGGGGCATTGTCGGTGAAGCTGTAGATCTTATCTGCCTCGGCCTTTATGCTCGCGAGGCGACTTTGGTGAGGGTCGGAGGAGCCGTTCAGAAGGCTCTCCCCTTTAGCCCCAAGGTCCCCGGGCTCTCCCCGGAAGGGGCTCTTTCCTTCCTCGGCCCGACACACTTTCCCGGGAGTCAAAGGGCTCTCTATTTCCTTGGACTCTTTCTTCTTCTTGTCCTTCTTCTTCTTGTCCTTGGCAGGAGTGAGCGCGGGGCTGACAGTGAAAGGCTCTCCCATCACGGTCGGCTTCGGCTGGATGGGTTTCAGCTGGGGACTGCTGGGCATGGCCTGAACTACTGTGGTGGTGAGGCCGGTGGAGGAGCCGGGGCTGGCGGCAGCGAAGGTGGCTGTCTGGAAGGTGTAGATCTGTGGTGGGATGGCCGGGGCGATGGGTCGTGCAGACTTGATGCTCTTGGAAGAGGCCTTCTCCGACTTGACGCTGACAGGCTTCTTCGCCTTCTCTTTGTCACTGCTCCTCTTCTCCGCAGAGTCAAAGCCGTCATTGCTGGTCTCGTCGGCTGCCAGAGGACCATCTTCGGACCCGTCATTGGACAGAGCACCTGAGTCGGGGTCTCCTTCGCCACCCAGCTTCTTCTTGCCAGGAGCCTTAGCACTGAACTTGCTTGACGGCGAGGGGCTGTGGGGCTCCATCAGGCGCACTTTGGGGGTGGTCGACCGAGCTGGGGACAGAGAGCCTTTCTGGCTACCGGAGGCGCCATTGCAGCTGCCAAGGTCCACTGGGAGAGACGACTCCTCCCCGTACTCGCTATCACCGTCGGCCTCCGGCTTGCTGTCATCGTCTGTGTGCGCGTGGGCCTGGTGATATTTGAGCCCATTGATGTGCTTGTACTTTTTGCTGCAGTTAGGGTGGGGACAGTCAATGAGTATTGGGGAGGGACAGTTCCTGTCCAAAATGGCGGGCTCCAATTTGACACTGGTGGCTGTGGCCGCGGCAGCCGCTGCGACTGCCAACGGCGTGGCAGCCGAGCCCATGGAGTTTGTGCGGACACGTTTGCTCCCCTTGGAGTCCTCAGAGCTAGAGTTCACCTCCAGGTCAGAGAGGGGCTTGCTCTTCCGCTTGGTCACTGAGGAGGGGCTGGCCTTGACGTCCTCAGACGTCCCAGTGGGCGGGAGGCGATGCTCGGAAGAGTTCTGGCTACCCCGCCGCCCCTTGCTGTTGGCCCCTGCCCGAGTTTTGCTACTGTTGCTGGTCCCTTTGCTCTCGGAGGCTGCCGTGTTCTCGTTCATGGGGGGGTTGCTGTTGGGCCGCATGCGCTTGCCCCGCCCACGACCGTTCCGCATCTCCAGATCACTGGTGGGAGAATCGCAAAACCTAGAAGGCAACAGAACAGGACTTAAGAAGGTGGCTCTGAAGCTAAGAATGGTTGAGCGAACACCTGAGGCAACTGGCTCCAGTCTACTATACTTACCACTGAGACTGCGAATATGCACCCTTGACCAGGTTGGCCTGCAGGCGGCAAGTAGCTGGAGAAGGTGCACAGTTTTAAGAGCAGGAAAAGGGCGACAGCAAGGTCCTGGTGGTTATTTTTAGAGGCCTAGTCTAATTAGGAGTCCTTCTAACTTTTAATATGCATTTCTACAGCTCAAAGGTCATGAGAACGTTTGATTATGTGAAGACCAAACCGCACGCCCGCTCACCTGAGCCAGTTAACTGTGCCTATTCCTTTTTCCCAGTCCCTAGAAAACAGGTCAAAGAACAAATAAAGACAACTCTGAATGAAAGCCAAAGAACATGACTGTACTTGGGGCCTAAGGAGAAAAGGCAGCCATCTGCATAGCAAAGGCTGCCTACAAAGAACATGTTTCACCTTGAGATTGTCAGGAGAACCACCTGGAGTGGGACAGTTGCTGAAAGGGGAAGAGAAAGCATACGCCGACACTCAGGGTAGTCCAGAACCAATACATTTTTTTTCTCTAGCAGATAGGAATCCCAAGTCCCCCCGGGGGGCGGGGAAACCCCCACCCCAGAGGCCCGCTCCCTGGCGCCGCCGGATCGGGCCCCGGTGGGAACTCCTCCCCAACGTGCGCGCCACCAGGAAGTGACGCGGGCACGCCGGGCATGCTGGGGGCGGGGCCACGGCCATACAAGAGAAAACTCTATGGTTTTCCCTTGTATGGTCATGGCCTCGCCCCCAGCGTGCCCGGCGTCATAACGTCACTTCCTAGTGATGTGTATGCAGCGCGCACGCACACGTGCACCAGAAGCCACCTGGGAGTCCCCCCGCGGTGGAGGTAAGTGCCACTTGGCAACCCTACTAGCAGAATCCCACAAGGCAGGCAATCAACAAGAGGATTGCGTGGAATAAAGGTGTTGCAGAATTTGGGGTTACATGAGCCTGGGCCTTCTTTGCGTTTTTTTTTTTTTGGTTCTGAAGTCCCATATGCCTTTGCTTTTTTGCTGGCAGCCTAGGAGTAAAACCTAAGGCCTTGCCCTGTTAAATACACTCTTGCCTGAATTCGTATCTGACAGTCCCCGTTCTCCAAGTGCCAGGCTCCAAAGCCTAATATATACTGCTATGGAGATGCTGTAGCTGTCTGGGTCTTGCTGACGTTGTAGTTAATAAAATATATCTAGGCAAAAGTTCACCCTAGCAAAAGTTCATGTTATCACCATACAGTGGGCTGGCCTAGTACATTCTGGATTGACGCCTCCATTGGTCCCCATAGACTGGAAAGAGTATAAAAATGTGGTCTTGGGCTTTGTTCTGGGCTGTTCGGCCAACACCCCACCAGTGTGTGTAAGGGTCTTGTCTCAGGAATGTTCCTTGTGCTTTCTAAAAGTGTACACTGTATCAGGCATTGAGACTTTTATATGCTATTGAGTATTACTTGTGTATGGTTTTAACGAATTAATAAACAATTTGAGTTTTAACCTATTGTTCCCCTCTGGTCCTTTTCCTCTGGAAGCCTGAGTTCCCTAGCCTGTCTCCATCCATCCACTGAAAAGAACCCCACGGAGTCTGGGATATTCCCCCACAAAAGGTATCAAAGCACGTAAAAGCAGGACAGCCTCTCCGGTCTGTGCTTTACCTGGGTGGTGCCCAATCGTGCTGTGTGCAGTCCAGCAGCGTCCCCACATAAGTCTTATTCCTCCAGGTGACATTCACCACCAGCATACCTGTGGGAGCAAAGACAGGAGATTTTGAACGCTCGGCTCTCCAATTGCCCCAGACTACTGTTTACTACAGGAGCTGCGGTGGCTCAAGTGGTTAAGATGCTGAACTGCAGGCTGTGGAAGGTCAGTAGTTCAGCAGTTCGAGACCCGAGCTGCCGCATGACGGAGTGAGCTCCCGTCTCTGGTTCCAGCTCCTGCCAACCTAGCAGTTCGGAAGCAAGAAATTGCAAGTAGATAAACAGGGACCACTTCGGTGGGAAGGTAACAGCGTTCCGTGCGCCTTGGTGGTTAGTCATGCCGGCCACATGACCACGGAAACGTCTTCGGACAGCGCTGGCTCTTCGGCTTTGAAACCCTAGAGTCGGACTCGACTGGCTTTTGAGCAAGGGAACCTTTAGCTTTTTACTGCTTACTACAGGTCTGAACCACCGCAGAACAGAGAGGAGCACTGGGATGCAGCCACTCCAGCCTGCTGAGGAACGCAAGTACTACCTTGCTTGAGGTTTCAGATCTACTTTGTTTGCTGGCCACGAATGCAGGTGGAGACTTTCCCCTGCAAGTCTACACTATGTGCAGCCCACTCAGCGCAGTCGTCAAGACTGGGACTTCCAGTCAGTAAGACAGATGACCCATGTTCTTAGTTGCACTCATGCTTTTTCCCTTCCAAGCCAGGCTGATGGATATGAGAAAACCTGCCCAAACAACCAGAATGGATTAAAACTGGCGGGAGGCTGGATCTGCCTCAATTGTACATACCTGGGGATTTGTGATAAATGCATCAGAGCAATGACTCTTCAGTTCTGTTGCACAGCAGGGCCACTATCCCTTTTTTGCCAGCCACCTCATTTCCTCACCTCACACCCACCACGTGAAAAGGCAGATGGAAGTGTACACATAGTTTAAGCCTTTGCAAATCTAAGTCCGCATCTAGGAATACGCCCAGAAAACGACAAGATGGCAGTTAAAACCTGAGTTATGTTGCAAAAGGGGAAATACGCATGCGGAAGAGGCTGCACAGCAACTGGTACCTCCTCCTGGCTCCCTATATAGGTGCTAAGCCCATGCCATTGCTGTATTCAATGACAGCTAGATTCGAATCCAGTGGCACCTTAGATGCCAACAAGATTTCCTGGGCATAAGCTCTTGGGAGCCAAGACTCCCTTCATCAGATACCTTTCATTCTCGAAAGCTCATACTCCACCCCCCCTCCCCCTGAAATTAAATGCAAACAAATGGTGACCATATAAACTAAGCTTATTATTCCAGTTTGGTCCTTGCATCTGCTAAACACCGTATATTATGCTTATGCGAATTTGCCACTCTATCGATTTGTATGGACTGGTATCTTCCACTTCAGTGTATCTGGGGAAGTGTACGTGCACGTGAAAGCTTAATACCTTGAATAAAACTCTGCTAGTCTTAAAGGTGACACTGGACTCAGACTTTGTTCAAAAAAACCTTGTTCCTCTTTGAGGTGCTACCAGACTTGGAACTAGGGTGTCCTGCCACAGTCCAACATGGCTGCCCTCTGAAACGATCTTTAACAAGAAGCATGAACCACAGTGTGGCGATCAGCTATCTCAAAAGGCCTCGTTTCTTCAATGGCGGCAGCACAGTGGGTCTCAGATTCGAGCCCAGGCTCCGTTTAAGGATGAGCTGCCTGAAGGAGTGTCAGTCAGTCACTGGGCAGATCAGAAGAAGCCGGTGGGCCCGTCTCCCCCCTCAGCCTCAGACCATCTTCTCTGCCTGCACAAAGTGACCCTCTTCCTGCCAAAGGTAACAAGGGCCTGATGCCGGGCCGAGCTTGAGCCCCCTCCTCCTATCAGATTCCCAGCACTGGTGGCTTCGTCGGAAGGGGGAACAGAAGGATGAGCTTATGCTTTATTTCACACCATCGCAGTCATTCTGTAGCTCATCACATGGATTCTGCACATTCAGATGATGGGATGAGTCATCGCCTGTCTCATCAAGAAGAGCCAAGCATGCCACTAATCTCATGAGAACATGTCACTCGATGTTGGATGTGTGGGCTTGCCGTAATTCTCCCACTGAAAATACTTTATAATGGGGCCCTGACCTGGATAGCCCAGGCAAGCCCGATCTCGTCAGATCTTGGAAGCTTAAGCAGGGCCGACCCTGGCAAGTACTTGGAAGGGAGACCTCCAAGGAATACCAGGGCTGGGACGCAGAGACAGGTAATCTCAAGCCACCTCTCTGAAACGTCCGAGCCCCACTAGGGGTCGCCAGAAGTCACCGTGACTTCCAGGCTTGCAAGCACACACACACACAAATACTCACACACAACAAAAAGACTTTATAAAGGGTACGGGAAACAGGATGACTTGTGAGAGGATCTGATCTTAGGGACAGCAGTTGGCTTTTCTTTGCCACAAATTCCCATGTACCGGCTGGGATGTCACACAAAAGACTGCCTTCTGTGTGAGTCCACTTCAGACCAGGCTTTGGAAACAACAATGTTCCATGAAACAGCCAACGGGTTTTGTGGTCTGCAATCCCACCCTTTGGGGCCGGAGGAAGGAATGAAGGAGATTTTCAATTCCTGGGACTCTACAGAGTCCCCAAGTGATTCTCTGAGCAACTGCAGAGAGCCCAAATGCATGAGGACACAGAGACCACAAAGAACAGCCTGGATCTCCTCCTCCTCCTCTTGGAGGCACTCACAGAAGAAGAGGTCGGGGCATCCCAGGTGGGAGCCTTTTAAAATTCAAAATGTCAGCATGCCGCTGCTTGTGAGTAAGCTTATTCTGAAGGACTGGAGTGGGAGGGAAGTCTCTTCCACTCATCTTCTTCTGTTCCATACCCCACAAGTTGGAGAGGAGAATAAAGAAAAAACTGGCTTCTGCTAGAACTTTGTTTCAAATACAAACCTGGAGGAGAGATGGCCAGGGTAATTCTGGATCCCGACCAGCAGTCTTGTGCCTTGGCTGATCGATGCTTATGGATTTGGGGTGGGGGGGCGGGTAAGATTCCCCACTGTAACTGCCACCTGGCTCTGGATGCAACTGTAGATTTATTAAGAACAATACCACTCACTGTCTTTCCAACATGCACCACTCTCTCTCTGTCAAACAGCCAAGCTGGACTAGGGCTGCTGCCCCATTACTCACAAGTATAACAACAGAACTACCCTTCCCAAGGTTTCTTCTTAGACCAAAGCCACCAGCAGAGATGTGACTGGCATCTCAACACACCCTAGACCTCCCCCAAACTGAGGAGACTCAAGCGTGTGTATTAAGGTCCAAGCCCCACTGAAGCTCATGCCTGGAAACTAGAAAGCTGTGCCCTCCTCTAGGGCTGGCATGCCTGCCAACTGACTGGTCAAAGCGAGGCAACTGGCCACCTATAAGCTGACCACTATTAAACACTGTCAGAGATTTCAAGATGTCAATAACTCCTATAAGGTGTAGGTGGCGGTTTACCTTAGTATGTTATTACATTACTTATTTGCAAAAGCAGGCTTGCTTGTAACCCAGCCCTGTGCAAGTTGCCAATGTGTTGTAATGGTTAGCGCACTGGAATAGAATTTAGGAGACCCAGGTTTGAATCCCCACTCTGCCACGCAAGCCTGCTGGGTGCCCTTGGCCCTGTCACTCTTTCTCAGCCTACCCTACCGCACAGGACTGTTGTCAAGATGAAATGGAGGAAGCGAAAATGATGTGCACCGTTCTGAGCTCCCTGGAGGAAGGGTGGGAAAGAAATGTACTAAATAAACAGGACTGCAGGCCATCTTTAAAAGGGCAAGAGCTGGCCTACTGCCAACTCAGCACAACTGCCTTTAAAAATGCTTTGGAAATAACTGCTGCCACTTTGCTGAGCCCAAGAAAGACGACAATTCTTGACGACGCCAGCAGAAGTTCAAGGTTCTTTTTACAAGTTCAAAATTGGGAAACGTTTCTCCGTCTCCCAAATGGAAACCCGCTAAGTTCTTAGGATCCCTGGGCTTCTGTCCCTCCAGCCGACTGTTTTATTTGTACAGGTTGATGTTGTGGAAGCGGGACTGCATGAGGATGCTTAAATGGTGTTGGTGGTCTGCCAGGGTCAGGCTGGATGATCTGGTGAGAGCTCTTCTGATGGCAATGTTGTGAACCTGATCGCATTGGACAGTGCAGACAGGCCTGATTTTGGGGAAAGGAGGCGGGAGACTTAGACAAATCCCCTTTCACGATGATTCCTGAGGCTTTACTGCATTCCTGGCACCCAGCAGGGCTCTTTTTTGCCAGGTAACCCCTAAGGTACCACTTAAAAATCAGAGCCACTTTGGTTCCCATAGTGAAAGCTTATCTGTGCTACAGCACTTACGGAAATGCTCCCCTGTGGCTATGAGACTGTCAAGCCCAGCGATTTCTCAGCTACATTTTGTATGTGTAGAATTGTTTGCAGAATCTGGATTTCCAAATTCTTCATTTATCGTAGGAATGAGAAAAAGAGCAGATAGATATAGTGTGTGTTTGTTTCTGGACTTCAGAGTTATTGGAAAAGAGAGGCAAGTGTATGTAACGGACACCAGAGAGCAGGCGGCGATGCTTCCCCACAATGTACGGCTTACTGGCTTTTCATTAAGAGCTTCGTTCCCACACACCAACACCTCCCCACTACCCTCTGCTCCTTGCCAGAAGACTCCAAGTGCTACGAAGCCTCCAATATAATTAGGTTCTGTAGAAAGCATGCAAATTGAACTGTTCTATGCGAAATAAGCACATCTGCATAATTTACACTGGAGCCTAGAATTTGACTCTCCTGGGTGCACAATATGAATATGAGGTTCAGTTTTCATGCAGAGAGAGAGCAAGAGAGAGAGAGAGGCTTGTGCCCATCTCCATCAGAAAACAATTATGCTAAATAACTCCATGTCATTAGCAGAGCCAGCTCAAGTGAGTCTTCCCTCCACAGGATGACCTGCTCTGAAGACTGCACCGCTAATTCACATACATATCAGACCCATTAAGCAAGGTGCCCTTATCTGAGCGAGATAAAACCCCATC